GTGCTGGGGGTCTCTGGCAGCACCAGCACCCCCCAGTGCTCCCCGTTTACGCACCTGATGGTGGGGACGGCAAAGGGGTCAAACTGGTCCAGCCTCTGCAGGTCCAGCGGCACCGAAATGCGCCCTGAGACAGAGCGGGGGTGGAGGTGAACGGGATTTTGGACATGGAGAGGTGCTTTAAAAGCTTTGTTTTCCTGTTGGTTTTATGTGAAATCTGAGATAATACACATGCTATAATTTATAATTACAGTAATAATTATAATTTACAATAATAACTATTTAATAATAATAACAATTGTAATAATGAAATAAAATCACTTATAATCGAATATAATCCAATATTTGATTATGTTATATAATATATTGTATTTTAAATTTATGTATAAATTATATAGAAAGATATATATAATTTATATATAAATTTTCAAAATCTATTTTCTATATATTTGTATGTTATATATGATATTATATTTTTAATCTATATTATAGTATAATATTTATTATATAATATTGTATTCTATATATTTTGTTACTATATCTTAATTTATGTTAATATCATAATATTGTATAATGTAATGTAATATAATGTAATGTATTGTAGTGTAATATATAATATAATATAATGTAATATAATATAATATAATATAATATAATATAATATAATATAATATAATATTATATTATATTATATTATATTATATTATATTATATTATATTATATTATAGTATTTACAGAATAATTATAGAATAATTATTCTATAAATAATAGTTATTATTTTACTAATCATTATTATTATATATTTTAAATATAATAATAATATAACATTATATAACGCAATGTAGTAACAATATTTACACAATAATATTTAAAATTTACAATTTATAACAACTTCCATCACGACTAGCACCCAACCATTTCCTCATTCCCATACATTATAAGCGTAGACACCAAAATATCCTCTCTTATTTCTGGGCACTTTTGGAAACCCTTTCCTGCCTGCGTTTCCCTCCTCCGGCGGGTCCCACCTGTTTTGGGGTGGACGCTGAAGGGGCTCTTGAGCAGGTGGCCGAGCCCTTTGCTGACGTTGACGTCGAGGCGGGGGAAGCAGAGCTGCAGCATCACCTCCCACTCGGGCCAGCCCGCCCGGCCGCGCTCCCGCTCGCGCTCGGCGCGGGCCCGCAGCAGCTCCCAGCGCTGCACCGAGTCCTTCTTCCGCGGGAACTCGGCCTGCAGCGGCTCCCGCAGCTCTGCAGCCGTCAAGGCTCATCCCCCGGTTTGTCTGGAGCGCACTGACCCTTCCAGGACTTCTCTAACCCTTCCAGGAGCGTGTTTACCCTTCCAGAACCCCTTTTACCCTTCCAGGACTGCATTGACACTTCCAGGACTGCATTTACCCTTGCAGGACTGCATTTACCCTTCCAGGACCGCATTGACACTTCCAGGACCGCATTTACCCTTCCAGGACTACATTTACCCTTCCAGAACTGCATTTACCCTTGCAGGACTGCATTTACCCTTGCAGGACTGCATTTACCCTTCCAGGACTGCATTGACACTTCCAGGACTGCATTTACCCTTCCAGAACTGCATTTACCCTTGCAGGACTGCATTTACCCTTGCAGGACTGCATTGACACTTCCAGGAGCCCACTGACCCTTCCAGGACTGCATTTACCCTTCCAGGACTACATTTACCCTTCCAGGACCCCACTGAGCCTTCCAGGACCCCATTGACCCTTCCAGGACTGCATTGACCCTTCCAGGACCCCATTTTAACCCCAAGTTTTAGCCCCATATTTAAAGTTTAACCCCATACTTTAACCTCATATTTCAATTTTGTCCCCATTTTAACCCCAGATGTTAATTTTAACCCCATATTTTGAGCCCATATTTTCATTTTATCCCCATTTTAACCCCATATTTTAACTTTATCCCCATTTTAACCCCAGATGTTAACTTTAACCCCGTATTTTGAGCCCGTATTTTCGTTTTTTGCCCACTTGAAGCCCATATTTTCATTTTCAGCGCCGAATCCAAGGATACCCTCGGGGAGCAGGGCCAGCACCTTGGCCCATTTCTCGGGGCTGCCCAGCACGTCCTGGCCCAGCAGCGCGAACTCCTCAAAGTATTTCTCCACCACGGCCACCGAGCGCCTGCGGGGAGAGCGAAAAACGGATTTTTGGGACCCAAATTTGGGGCAACTGAGAGGTCTCCTAAAATTTTTTATTCTGTTTTCAGTCTCGTGTGAAAGGTGGGATAATACAGATGTTATATATATATATTTTTTAATAATAATATATTATATATATAATGATATATATTAGATATAATATAAATAATATATATAACATATAAAAATCTATAATAGATATAACATAAAAAATATATAATATATATTATATATAGTATATATAGAATATATATACTATATAGTATATATAATATATATAATATATAAGAACAATATATAATATGATAATATAATAATAATGTAATATATATTATCTATATTACATATAATGACATACTATATATAATTATACGATTATGATTATATAAGTATATAATATATAAATATATATAATATAGAATACCAATATATAATGACATAATATTATAATTTTACAAGTAAAATATTATATATGCTATTATATACTATATATTTTATATATATTATACATTATACATATATATAAATATTACCTATGTAATATTACATATAATATTGTAATATTAGATAACATAATTATATAATTATGTAATTATATAATTATAATATATAACATACACATGATCTATATAATAGATTATATATAATATATAATTGCTCTACTATATATATTAAAAATATATTATATATATAATATATATAAAAACTATATAAAATATATATGTATAATATATATACTTTTTATATATATTACATATATAATATATATAGATAATATATATAATTTAAATATATATATATATAATTCAGCCTGGCTAAAGTATCTTTGTTCATCTACATTGGTTGTAGTGGTTTTGCTTTGTTAATTGCAGATTTTTGTTCCTAATTTTGGGATTTTCACTATTCTTGTGCTGATGGGTTTTAAATCCCCAGTGTGTTGATCTCTGGTTGTGAGACAGGATCAGGAGCAAGGTAAAATTGGCTTTGAAATTTTAAAAGGGCGTAAAGAAAAGTTTCTTAACAGTAAGGAAGGGAAAAAAAAAGTAGTAAGAATGAAAACAAATAATTTAGAACACTTTTAAGGAGAAAAGGTTTCATTTTTTAGAGCAGAAGTGCAAAGCCCCTCTCAGCTGCCACCCATGGGAGTCAGAAATGGCCGAAGCCGACAGCGTCACCCACCTGATGAACGGGTGCACGGGCTGGGACAGCGTCACCTTCTTCACCGTGTCTGCGCCACCCTGGGGACAGCGGGGTCAGCCGGGGGGCAGCGGGTGCTGGGCACCCCAAATCTGCTGCTGGGCACCCCAAATCCAGCGCTGGGCACCCCAAA